TGTGCTGCAAGTTTAACTATAGGCTCAGTGGTTGAAAAACACTGGTTTACAGTGAGGATTGGATATGAACTTGGTAATTACATCCCTCAGAAGATGTGGCTTTGCAACCTGATGCTTTGTCTTCCCAGCCAACTAAGCCAATTCAGGAAGAACCAAGCAGAGCCTCACCAGGTGAGAAGGAGATTGTGATGATTCTGGAAAACCAGGAGTACCAAGAATAGTTCAACGTTTGTTATTTTAAAAGCTGATATGCAAAATCCTACTTCCAGAGATTCCTGCAACAAGCGTATAATCCTAATGACTGCTTCTTTCCTGCTTTTCATACTTCTGTTTTCCATGTCAGGCCACACCTCTTTTAGTGTCCTTACTCCCCGATCTAATGCTCTTATTTACAGACATTCCACAAACCATCCTCATAGTAAGTATTCCTCTTACATGGAATCTCAGAAAACTGCGTTTGTTACAAGTTAGGCCCCATTGACTGTCTAGCCCAATTGCCTTTGACATGCCTGGTTCAAAGGCACATTGCTAAAAGTAGCTCGTAGTCTGGTGGAACAGAAGAAATGTCTCATTATGGCTAACTCTTTACCATTTGTGCTCTAAATGAATCACTCACTCTGGGGTGACTGAAGTTTGTCATATAGAGATGCTACCCTAGGGCAATTTAGACATTTAGTGCATTTGGATGTTGTTTAAAAAATGAGAACTAAAGTTCCAAGATTTAGTCAATAAAATACAGGACCCCAGTTAACTTTGAATTTCAGATAAACAACAAATAATTTTGTATTATAAGCATGTCCTATACAATATTTGGCAACATCACCATGCAAAAGTGGAGCTGTCAGTGTGCTGGTCTCAGGCATTCAAGAACTTCGTAGTTTTCCCAGAACAGTCCACAGAATTTGCCTAAGCAGGGCTTCAGATTAATCACCCAAACAGAGCTTCTCTATACAGAAGTCTGGTACCTGCTTCTTTCCTGCTTTTCCTACTTCTGTTTTCAATGTCAGTCCACACCTCTTTTAGTGTCATCTGGCACCTGGTCTTCAGTACTGGTTTCTTGACATTGAAATAGATGCTGGTTGTGTGATATTGTGATATAAGAAGAAATATACTGTATATTTGGTCCTTGTCTCTGGCTCAGGGTCAGAACTGCTAAAACCCTCGTAATAAGGATAGAAGCATCTTTTATAGTAATATTTGGGTTTTGTCCCCAACTCAGACACAATGTACAGGAAAGAACCATCTTTTGTTATTCATAACAAGCCCCTTCCAACCACTCCAGAGTTTATGTTATGAGGTGCCTCTTGGTGACTGGTTGCTATGAGGAACCAACCATGTGATAACAGGCAGTACCCAGATGCAAAGGAGATTGGTTTTATCAGTTTGTTCTTAAGTTGAATGTGTATGTAAGTTTTGGAACAGGTACATTTACCTATTACCTATAATAGCCTCCATTTGTAAGTGCAAGTTGTATATAAGTCAGATGCTTGTAACTAAGGGATTGCCTATAGAGGGTTGGAATTTTCAGCCCCAGCCTCTGACCTCAGCTGACAGAAGTGCTGGAAGATGAGCTAATCATGGCCAATGATTTCCTCAGTCACTGAAGCCTCCATAAAACATGACCACAGGAGTTCTGTCTCCATAGGGACAGAAGCCTATGTACTCAGGCTCTTTCCAGACCTTACTCTTCGTATCTCTTCATCTGGCTATTCATTTGTATCCTTTAAAAATGTCCTTTGTAATAAACCGTTAATAGTAAACTGTTTCCCAGGGTTCTGCAAGCCATTCTAACAAATCATGGAATCTGAGTCAGGGGTCATGGGACCCTCTGATTTGCATCTAAGTTGGACAGAAGTTGTGGGTAACCTGGGAACCCACTACTTGTAAGTGGCACCTCAAATGAGGCAGTTTTGTGACAGAACTGAGTTTTTAACCTGTGAGATTTGGCTATAATTCCAGATAAGATAGATAGTGTCAGAATTGAATCTTGGGACATCCATTTGGTGAACTGGAGAATTGGTTGGTGTCAAAACCTCACATAGTTGATGTCAGAAGGTCAGAAATGTTCTGAGAGTAGAGAAAAGCAGTTTTGTTTTGTTTTGTTTTGTTTTTGGTATTTTTGTTTTTCCACTCAGAGACACCCTGAGTCTCTCTAGTGTGTACCCTACACCAACCCGAGGTCCTCCTATCTCCTGTAGGAATCCCTCCATCTTCTCATAGTTTAGTTACTGAAAGATGAATGAGGAACCTGTGTAACACTGTTACAACACCTTTGTAGCCAGTGTTTGCTCTGGATTTGTGAATGTCAGACTCCCACCAATTGTTTTAGCTGTCATCCCAACATACTAATGAGAGTTGGCATAATATAATACTTCATAAAGAAATATCCTGATGGGTACTGCCAATCAGTATTAAAACAGAAAGCATGGCACTGCTGATCCAAGGTGTAAGGCTGATCAATATATTGCACAATGATATACTTTTCCCTGATTCTGGAGTCCAGAGCCCCATGAGGAAACGGGTTCTTTCCATCTGGTGTGGCAGTCATTCATTAACAGTATGTGCAGTTTTTCTAAATCAGTAGAACTCTTTCAGATGAAAATCTTCCTTAGAATATCAATATTTAAACATAGAGGGATCGAATCACACTGTTTGAAGAGGGGAGAGAGACTTGGAGGCAAGGAAGGAAAGAGAGAGCTCAAAGCAGAAAACTGCTAGAAAATAATCTAGAGAAATTTTTCCAGTTTTTATTTTTACTTTTTAAATGTTAGAGTCTCACTCAGTAACCTGAACTAAAGTGCCATGGCGTTAGCCTAGCTCACAACAACCTCAAACTCCTAAGCTCAAGCAATCCTTTTGCCTCAGTCTCTCACATATCTGGGATTACAGGCAGGTGCCACCCTGCCCGGCTAGTTTTTCTATTTTTAGTAAAGACAGGATCTCCCCCTTGCTCAGGCTGGTCTCAAACTCTTGAGCACTACAGGCCTTGGCCTCTCAGACTATTCCAGTTTTAAAAAATTATAATTAATGAAAAACTAAAACACACAAATATGCATTTATTTTTAACTATATAGTATGATATAAACATATATGCTAAATATTTCAATATATACATATTGTGTATCATATATAATTTATATATCATGTATAAAATATGTAATATATAATATATGCATATAAATAAAAATCATCAAAGACTGGTTCAGGAAATGGACTTTCTAAATATAGTGATATATCTCAAAAGCCTAAAATACTTATAGACAATAATATGCCTCCAAAAATTTGTCATAAAGAAATCATCCTAAATATTGGGGAAAAGGGTATAAGAAACGTTATGTATGTGGTCATGTTATTTTATTTCCAAATATTATTACTACTCCAAAATTAGAAAGAATTTCAACACACCATAATAGAGAAACAATTAAATAAGTTTTGATATACCATTCAGTGGAATATTATTAAATCACTTACAATATATCCATAAAGAATTTGTAACAATATAGATAAGTAGTATAAGAATAATTGGTTAAAAAGAAAAAGAAAATTATCAAATCTAGCATATTTATATGCTAAAAAGTCTCATATTGAAAATAAATCATACATAGTGAAAAATTCAAAGTAAATTTATCAAATTTTAACAATTGTCCTCGCTGAGTCTATGGGTTATCTTTTTTCAATTTATAATAACTATGCACTTCCAATTTTCTATAATGATTGTGTATGATTTTTATAAACATAATAAATTAAGAAATAGTTATGTTCCCAGTGAAAAAGGAAAATAGGAAATACAGAGTTTAGCTAATTAAAAAAAAATAAACACAGTGTTTTAAAAAAAAAAAGAAGAAAAAGAAAATAGCTTTTCAAAATCTGTTTTAGGCCTGCTGCTTGCCCCAAATGCAACTTAAAGAATTTCACCAGTAGATGTCACTGTTACACTTCTAACTTTGAGCACATCTCTCAGCTGCACAGCTTTTCAGGTAGAGGACAAAAACAAAAAACTTTAATTTCTGCGTCATCTCTGCAGGGCTGTGACTTGTCATCCTCCAGTTTCGTTCCAAACCTCCTTTTATAGTAACAGTGATGTCAAATGCTTTTCTAAAGTGTCAAATGATGACCATGGTTTTATGGTTATGAAAGTACAAGGCTCTCCAGCTCTTTATTTACCACCCAGATGAACATCACAGACCCAGGCCACGCTAGTTAAATACATAGTTTCAGATTGAAAGTAATGAATTGAAAGACTCAGGATTGTCAACTGGCATTAAGGACCATGGCAAAAGAAAAGAAATGCTTCTTGGATTCCCATCGCTTACCCAATCTGTGACAGGAAACAGGGTGGGTAAAGCGGGGATGGTGAGAATTGTGATAGTCTGGTCAATCCTATCAGGCCATCTAAATGTGAAAGAAGCTAAAACCTAGCCTGATGCTTTGTGTTGGAGAGTGGAAGCTTCTGGGTCAATGAATACACAAATGAATGAGAAAAAAAGAGGGGTGTGTTTTTTAAATGGGTCATCCTGTATTTGGCATATTTCTTGCCAGCCTGTTCACCTGTTACTTGAGCAGATGGAGAGAAAGAAAGGTTTATGAATGTGTAAGGAAGACAGGCTATTTGGGTTTCACTGGAGAGTCCAGGGTATATCAGTCACCTGACATGTGTTATTCACAAATTTTTAGTAAAATGATATTAAGAAGTGACAAGCAATGACATTTAGGCTGTGAAGCTAACGTGAACAGAGTACTCTGAAAACATTCAAATAAATTGTAAGCCCAGTCACTTCCAGTCTCTTATAGATTAAGCACTTGTCACTTTCTAGTGCACGCATTTCAGACCACCAAGATATGTCTTGGTCTTCTGCACCCACTAATTTTTTTAAAACAATGATCCATACATAAAATGCAGCTTTAGCAGCTTATTGTACACCATTTACAGTAAGCGCCAACTAAATGAGCCTTTGCTGATGGTAAAGAACCACAGCACAAACACAAAGATTTCTACTTACATGGAGGTCCAGGTATAGCTCACTTCTGTTTGGCTTCTCTCTTTCCTCATGAAGCAAAAATGGACAGGCTGGTCCTGTTCGATAGCCCAGGACCCATGTGCTGCCATCTCTGTTGGGAAGGTCTTTAGGTGTCTGGTCATTGAAGCTGTCCCAGGGAAAACCCTCGGAGGAGATACCTAGACAAACAGAGAAGTCCATCAGTAACACACCAGTTAAGAAGAAAAAACAAAATCTAGCCAGCCATATTTGGGGAACTCTTTACTACAGGGACCCTCTTCAGACTACCTCTTATTTCATTTCTAAGTTGTATTTTCAAGAGTTTTCTTTCCTCTAAAAGTGCTTCTCCCAGTTACCTATTCTGGATCATACTAAAATTAAAACATGTGCCCTCACTCCCAATTTAAAAAGAGAAATCTATTTACTGTACTCTGTCTTCCATATTCTTGTTTACCAATCCAGGCTGTCTGGTTCATTCTATTTCAGAATGGTAATCAGAGGAGGAGCTGAGGGACAGAAGTCAGGAGGCCTGGGCTGTTGGCTTTCCTACTCAATGGTGACATCTGAGCCAATTCACTAATGTGTATATTCTTCGGGGGCAGGAACTGTGCTGGTTCACCTTTTTCTTCTGGGGATAGAATCACTGTGTGTGGTGTGGTGCATGATGCCATTGGTCAGTTTCTTGAATGAGTGGGCGCTACATGAATAACCTATTTGGGTCTCACTCTTGTGATCTCCACAATTAAAGGTATTAAACTAGTTCATTCTTACCTAAACTATGTTAGGATAATAATAGTTCACTATGTGCCAGGCACTATTCTTAGCTCTGTTCTTCAATTTTTAAGGTAACATATAGGTAGGTATCAAATGAGAACGTAAGTGTTCTCATTCGAGATGGAGAAACTGAAGTACAGAGCAGTTAAGCAATTTGCTCAACATCATAAAATCAGTAAACAATAAAGCTAAGCTTTGAACCTGGGCAGTAAATAGTAGAGGCCATGCTCTTAAGGACCACATTACATGGCCTCTGCCTGAAATTCTTGCGATGGCAACACAGGTTCAAAACAAAAAAACTTTATGGTCAAATAAATGTGTGAAAAGCTACATGCTGTAGCCCTTGGAGAACCATGATCCATTAGCGTATTAAAGACCTTGAGGCATCCTTTAGTAGAGAAACCTAATTCTGTATCATAAGGTTTTCCAAACTTATCTGACCACAGAATCCACTTAGAGGGACACCAGCTGTACATGCTGCATGCTGCAAGCTGCTGGTGTTCTACTGCAACACAGTTTGGAAAATACTAGATTAGATCACCTCTAAAGTGACAGGCACTCAAGTTCTAGTCCTCTTTTAATTCCTTGTAAGCAACCTTGGCAAAATATTAAGCAACAAGGCAGAAGTTAAAGGTTCAGGCTGAGTGTAGTTTTGCAATAGAGATCGCCGTTGGATATATGATAGGGTGTTTATTACATATAATCCCTGTAAGAGAGTCTGTCTGGCAGTGTCCCAAAGGCAGCCAACGGCTTCCACCGTGCTGAAAACCTAACTTACATGTAACATGAGCCAAGAGCAAGTCAGCTAACAAAAGGCCTGTGGGATAACACGCTTCTCTTTTATATTAGAGTAGCATTTTAGAAGAAAGAAAATTTGGTCATGGCTAAGGTTTCTTGTTTTGTTCAGTTGATTGGTTTCCAACCACGCTTCAAATTGAAAGGTGATGCAGGTCACCGTGTTTCCACAGAGCCCTCTGGCAGGCTGTTCTCAAAACAGCTTTCCGTGGGCACTGAGAGAAATGAGACTCCAGGGCCTCCTGAGTCCACCCTCACCTCTGCAGACACTGGCTGTCAAGCAGGTTATAACCAGCCTCTTCCTTCACCTGGGCCAGATGCCTTAGAACAAGCACCTCCCCTGGATTCCGACCACCTGCAGACAGTCTCCTAAACTGCCTAAAAGAAACTTGGGTGTGGGAGGATAGGCAGTCTGCTAAGCAGCCCTGCTCTATCCTCATGATGCCCCATGGGGGCAGACAGCATTGGCTATACTTACTAGAAGCGGAAATGACAGCCTAGACCCCTTTTACCTCCTATTTATATGGCTCATCCCCCACTTAGACTATGTCTGTTCATATTTCTACCAAGAAAAGTGGAAGTAAACCTTTTTAAATTTATCGTGTGCATTCACTAGACTACCTCATCTTCCAAAATGTGTTAATTACTAATCAAATCCCTCATTTTAAATCCTTTCATTTTCATTTTTATTTTGGAGTAGCTGCTGGCTTTGTATAAATTTAAACACAGATTAATAAAACAATATAAAACACAGTATGTATACCACAAGACACAATGTACAACACCCGGTCATCAGAGGCACATTGTCTGGTAAGTATAGTCCATCATTTAGGCATGTCAGAGAGGTAAATTCCCAGAATGACAAGGATGGGGGGGTCCATGGGTAAAATATACATGTGTGCATGCACACACATGCAAACCCATGCACACACCTGCAGTGGCTATCCCACAGCTCATGAATGAGGTGAAATGTGCAATCAAGTTCACTCTTTGTGCAGGGAGAAAACAATGGACAATTTAAGCAGAAACGATGAAAATTAACTTCATTTTAGGAATGGTTTTAGTTTAAAAAGTTAATTTCTAATACCTAATGTTTAACCAGACAATATCCCCATGAAGGAAACACACAAGGTAGAACCATGGTGCATAGTAATTTTGGTAAGGATCATTAGGACAGGAAAGGACCAAGGGCAAAAATAAGTAACATAACACTATTATTCTGAAACTTCTGACAAAGTAGGTTAGGACAAAGGACAAATTCGCCATTCCAAAGATCACAAAAAATGTATAAGATAATTTTTGAATGGAAAATCTCAATGATACAAACACAAGTTTTTTAGGTTCATGTGTCTGTAATTATTAAAATAGGTATTACTTCTCCCAGACAAATTGAATAAAAATGTTAACAAATTAAATAAAAAATCTAATAAATCTAACAAAAGGAGAAAAAAATTACCCCAAATTAGGTAAATATATACTATCAAGAAGGTTAGTTGTCATTTAATTTTCTGATACAAAAAGATACTGAGGGCCTTAGTTTGTTTTTTTTTTTTTTTTGAGGGTATTAGATTTTCAGAGAACATTTTGTAAAGAGCCGAAATAGTATAACCAATTTAATCATACATCTTTCCCTTTTCAGGTGCATATTATACGGTTTTTACTTAATATTTATTCATTATTTTTGGTTTCTCAAAGACATTTCAACAGCTTGGTCAGTCACATACACACACACAGGTTATTTCTACAGCTGACCACGGTTAATACAACGTACAGCACAGTCACAGTAAAGGCAGGTGACTTACCTTGGGACTGCTTTGAAAGTCTGTGCTTTTCCCAACCATTCAATGGATGAGCTGTACTTCCTGATGCTAACCTATCACATCAGACTGGGGTTTTGCTGTCAACTATCAAAACAACAGAAGCAGATAGAAAGGAAAGGTAATATGCCATTTAAAACAGGAGGCCATGTCCCTAGCTCAGCTTTCCAAAATGCAATCAGTCTCCCTACCTGAGGCACACTGGGTCACTGTTCCCACTTCTCACTCTCACCCCCTGCATTATGATTGTGAACCCCGGGCCTTTTCTAGTGACCATTGTCACTCTTCTCGCTGGAGTGGATGTTGTCTATTTTCCCTGCTTGTGGAACCTGCCTCGCCTAATTGCACATGGACAATTGGACAGTGTGCCAATTCTGAGCCATGGCCTTAGGAGGCCTGTGTCCTTCTGCTTCCTGCTTTGTGTTTCTGCCATCATTATGAGATGAACATGCCCCAGAGAGCCTACAGGAGACATGGAGAAGACCTAGACGCTGTCCTAAAGCCTGAAGTCGAGCTTAGCTGAACTCACATCAGCCTGTGTGAACCTGCGCCAACTCGCAGGCCAGTGAACCACAACAGTAAATATTTACTGGAAGCCACTTGGGACCTATTTAATTGAATGAATGGCCTTGTACATTCTCATCTGCCCACACTGGAAGCACTGTAATTTTTTTTTTTTTTGAGACAGAGTCTTACTATGTTGCCTTTTGTAGAGTGCTGTGGCGTCACAGCTCACAGCAACCTCTAACTCTTGGGCTTAAGCAATTCTCTTGCCGCAGCCTCCCAAGGAGCTGGGACAATAGGCACCTATCACAATGCCCAGTTATTTTTTTTTTATTGTAGTTGTTACTGTTGTTTAGCAGGCCTGGGCCCGGCTCAAACCCACCAGCTCTGGGTATGTGGCTGGCACTATAACCACCAAGCTATGGGTGCTGAGCCTGGAAGCACTATAATTATTAAAAGTTTTAAACTTTTTCAGCTGAGAGGAATTATAGACTACAGTATTTTTATTTTGCCATTCATACTGAAAACAATTATTCAATGTGCTGTAAACGTTTTGAAAAATCCTGTGAAAACTCATGATACATTTGTTCCCTCATTCATACCAAGATCCTCACACAAACTGCATTTCATTAAAAAATTAACTTTATTTACCAGTCATTGACCTTATTCATTTAAAAATACATAGAATATACATTTACTTCCAAAAAGAAGTTTTTAAACATACTACATAATCATATTTGGACAGAAGTCCCTAAGAAACAAAGTTACAGTACTGTTCAGGCTTTCTTCTCAGTTTTCCTGTCAAACCAAGCCCTCACTTAACAGCAATGATGAAGTGGCTGTGCCTTCCAAAGGAGAGGAAAAAGTCCTCAGCTTGAAACTCTCATGAGTTTTAGTTTCTGTGCTGTCCTTCTTAAGGCCATCTATCATGACTTTACTTAAATTCAAGGAGGTGAAGTGTTTTCAACCGTGAATATCAAAAGTGATATGTAAATGTTGACAGGTTGTCTTCTGTTATGTTACTCAAACGTGTACTTAACAAGCAAGACAGACAGCAACCTAGATGTGTAGCTAATGGAAAGTGACATTGTTAAGTATTTGTAGAGCAGGTGTGTGCCTGTGTGTGTAATTATTCACATCCATACCTAAAACATAGAGCTTTGGTGAAAGGATAGTCTTGTGGCAGGTATCTGTCAATTAGAAATCAACATTCACCAACATCATTGCCTCCATTGCCAATCCCAGAGGTGTTAAAATGATAGAGTATTAGATTAGGACCAAGGGCAAAA